TTCTCCTTCCTTGAGATTTAAACATCAGTTTTAACTAGAAAAAGATCAAATGAATATAAATTGACTACAAATAAATGCAGGCAATGAGCTACACATAGAGTTCCAAACATTAAAGTCTCATATTCGCGCCTGGCAAGGAGTGTGTCTTGGAGACAAGAACGTGAACGACACCACAGTAAAGCTGAAATACATCAACAGGTTGGGGTGAATCTGGGGCCAAAAAGGTGAGCTCATCCTCATGGGGCTTTAAGTGTTTGATTCGCTGATACCCCTTGTGGCACCCAAAAAAAGGTTTCGTTGCCATGTATTTGATCTGGTCTGGAATACTTTTTAATTAATTCGATGCTTCAGGACTTCTACTAATGGCCTGGAGGAATTAAGACACTTCTCTGTCCCCAGCCGTTTTCCACGACCACAGCACCAGAGATACCAGCAAGGTGCTGGACACGGCAGTGCACTGGGAGCCTTGTGCTCAGGGTCCGCACAGAAACCAGGGAGAGGGACCTTGGGCCTCCAGGTGGGGTGGGCACTGCCCACTTCTATCTCACAAGTTCTCTCTTATGGCAGAGGCCCAAAATGTTGATGAAACCTTTGATGACCACTCCCTTCCCATGGCACGCTATGTTATTTTAGAGGCTTTTAATTTTTTGCTCTACATTTAGTCCAGTACATTAAGCATATTCTGTGGCTTGCAGAACACCAGAACTGACACATGTATCCCTGAAACATAGATGTGAATTTGTGTGCATGGGCGAGAGGGTTGGGTTTTTTTCCTGTTTCAACACAAGTTGACAAGGACAATGCCTATTCACTCCAAGGCCCTGAGCAAGCTTTCCGTGCTGGAAGTTGTATGACTTCAGAATCCTATGTTTAGAGCATTCTGCTCTCCCTAACCTTATCATTAACCTCACTACATTAGCTTCTGCATATGAGACATAACATGGTAAAAAACTAAGACAGTCAACAGAACATTAAAGAAATACAATTTAGGTATTTGTGGATCAGTCTGTTTAAGCTACTTCAAACCACGAACACCCTCAAAAACCAGTAGATACCACCCGAAAGAGAGAGAGAGCATTGTGCAAATGAGTATGTTCATGTCACACACACAACAAACATTTTATCACTTCCAGTTATCCACTCCCCACACCTAAGCTTTTAAAATTTTGCATTAGATACTTTTCTAACTCATTAACTAAGCACTTTTGCAACAAAGGCAAACACCAGCATTTTCCAGGTTATCTTCCAGTTAGATAGCAAAGTCTCTACCTTCTCCCTGGCTACAGTACTAGAAATGACACTTCATGATGTCCACCCACCGATATTTAAAAGACATTCTATCTCTCCAGGAATAGACTAGGGACAAAAAAAAAAAAATCTCTTATGCAATGCTTTCTATACATGCGGGCCACAGAGTTTGCTGTACAGGAGTGGAATTCTATGCATATTCCCCTACAGTGGCTATAAATTGCTCGGTATGATACATTCATCATTTATCTCAAGTTCTACTTTAAGCACCTAGTCACAGCTTTATTAGCTTTACAACTTGATCTAATATAGAAATAATAAACCTTCATATAATTGTGCTACTCATCCACCTTTTTCAGTTTTGAAATCTTTGTTCAACTCCAGCCAACCTTGGCTAGGTCAAGGAAGGTGTTTGTTTGATCTCAAGGAAACAAATTTCCTACAAATTGTGCAAGAATCAACAATTGAGCAAGGCACAGACACAGATTAATACTCAATGAGGAAAAGGATGCAATATTTGTTCCACAGTTTTCTATTCTTTTGGACCCCAGACTGGGCAAGCAGGATTGCTATAGCTGGGAGCCAGTCATAACACTTAGGAAACAGGAAAGGGAGATGCAAAGATGAGGGTGGGAAGGAGCAGCCATGGATATAACAGAGACACAAGGAAAGACACGTTTTGCAGAGATAAGGCTTCAGATTGTCCATGTGCGGGGCAACAACTTCCTTGCACTTTCTTTTATACCTCCACAATAGGATAATACATCCATAATACACAACAACAAAACAAGAAAGATGCAAACCAGATCCAGGTTTGTTTAACCGGGCTTAAGTTAAGCTTCTCTTTCTCCTCTTCCTATAGCTATTCAAAAAGCAATGACTGCTTCACATCAGCTTCAGAGGTTCTGAGGTTAATTTTTGTGTTAGAAAAGAAATTATTTTTAAATGTTGCACACATACAAAGACACAAAGATCACATTGTGTTACAACACTGTATCCTGAGACCAGTCCTTAGCCCTTTTGCTGTTGAGTACGGTAATACACAGCTCTACTCCTTCTCCTGCTGA